CCATGGAGCACATGCGCGACCCGGAAGGCCTGTCTGCCACATTCCACAACGGCCTTGAGTTGTCGATGGCGGAGGGAGCGAAGAAGGCCCCAGCAGAGAGTGGAGGTGACAGCAACTCAGCAGTCAGCGCGTCTGAACGGGGAGTGGCGCCCATTAAATCTCAGTGAGTCTGCAGAGCAGCAGGGGGCACCGTATGTAGTCTTCCCGGTACCCGTAGTGCGGCCCGAGCGGCGCATGCCCGGATGTGGGGCACGGTCCAGAGCAGGGAACTTGCGGAGTCTTCAGTCTGGGCTATTCCTCCGCCCAGAGCCCGCAGAGTGGTCAGGCTAACACCCGTAGAGGTATGCGTCGGAGGCTGTCACTTGTGTGAGAGGCGGCCACGTGCGTGCTGGATAGGCGGGGTTCAGGGCGAGACCCGCAATGTGTGCTGGGGACTGTAGTCCCTCCGTATGGTGGGAACGGCGCGTGTGCACCTAACAGCCGCTGTTGCTGGAGGGGGTTTGGCGTCGCCGCGAATGCAGCAGGGCATGCTGGGGATTGCAGTGTCTGTGGGGCTGAAAGGCGAGCCGGGGAGTGTGGCGGGTTGCAAGGCATGCTGGGACTTGTAGTTTCCCACGTTAGGCCAGGGATGTTCCGGCTTGATAAAGCCTATGTTTAGGCCTGATGCTCAGGGGAGTGGGGAACCAGGAACAGAGTAGGTCCTCCCTCTGGCCTTGAGGTTAGCCCTGGATGGGAGCTGGCTGCTTCTCAGTAGTGAGCTCTCTGTCAACTGAAGCATTTAAGCAGGGGTAGTGCTCAGCCTCCTCACCCCAGTGTTCCCTGGGTCTGAGTTCACAGGAGGACCTCCTGGAAGAGTCCCCCTTTCTTCTCCCTCTCTGCTGGCAGATACCTCACCACCAAGGAACAGTTTCACCAATTCCTGGAAGCCAAAGGGGAGAAGCTCCAGCAGGAATCGGAGGCAGGAGACCCTGATGGCAATGACCTGGCTGAGCCTAGGGCCAAGAGGATCCGACTGGAGGATGGGCAGGCCGAGGATGGGCAGGCAGCTGAGCCCGGGCAGCAGCCACAGGCCCAAAAAAGGGCCCGGGGCCAGAACAAGAGCCGGCCCCACGTGAAGCCCACACACTATGACAAGACCAGGCTCTGCCCCTCACTGATTCAGGTGAGCATGACCCCATGAGCAGGTTCTGGGGGCTTCAGTCCCTATTTGATCCTCAGGATCCCGTCACAACGTAAGTACAGCCGGCAGCTTGGGGTGACTCAGCCTCTGATCTGACGTTTTGATGACGAGAAAGCCACACACATTCCGCAGGAACCGCACTTTGAAACTTGAATTTTGATCTTTTCCTGATTTGTAACATGAGACATTCTTGTGAGTGGTGTGACAGTCACATGATGCTGGGTCCCATCAGCCCGAGACTGGAAAGGTGAAGGCCAATGCTCCATGGTCCCCATAGCCACCCAGGAGGTCTGGTGGTGAGGTCATGTTTTGGACGTGGGGCATCTTTAACCTACCGTGGGTGTCTGCAGGTGACCTCCTGGCAGGTCGAGGACCGACTGTGTTGCTCTTGGTCCCCAGTCACAGATGGAGAGCCTGTGGCCTGGGGAGGTTGCCGCCGTGCCTGAGGACACAGGCAAGACGGGGATCTGGGACACACAAGCAGCCTTCCCGGTCCTATCACGTCCTCCCTCCGCTCCACAGGAGTCTGCTGCAAAGTGTGTCTTTGGTGACCGCTGCCGCTTCCTGCATGACGTGAGCCGCTACCTGGAGACCAAGCCGGCCGACCTGGGCCCCTGCTGTGTGCTCTTTGAGACCTTCGGCAGGTGCCCCTATGGTGTGACCTGTCGCTTCGCTGGGGCCCACCTGGGGCCCGAGGGCCAGAACCTGGTGCAGGAGGAGCTGGCCTCGGACTGGGCCCACCGCCAGCCAGTGCGCAACAGCCTGAACAAGGCCCTGCAGCAGCAATTGCGCAAGCGCAAGATCCGCTTCGAGCGAGCTGAGCTCGCCCTGCGCCAGCTGAGCCAAGGCCAGCTGCCAGGCCCTTCGTTGGCTGGTGCCGTCCTCGAGGCCACCACAGCTGAGGGCACCCCAGGGCAGAGCGACTGTGGCGCCCAGCAGGCCCCCGCTGGGCCAGACGCTGGCTGCTCTCCCAGCCGCCCTGTGCAGACCTGTGGGCCCCTGACGGACGAGGACGTGGTCAGGCTGCGGCCCTGTGAGAAGAAGCGGGTGTGTGTCCCAGGCCCCACTGCAGCCGGTGTGGCGGCAGGGCTGGCCTCCCAGCACGTGCCTGCCAGGCACCAGCTGTGTCACTCCTGTGCTAGACGCCTACAGCCAGGTGCCTGGAGGAGCCCCACTGACCTTCCCCTCTGATCTCCAGCCTGGGCCCAGCCCTCAGTTAGCCTCAGCGTGGCGGGCAGCAGAGCTGGCCACACAGCGCCGCCCTGGAGCGCCTGGGCTGGGCAGGGGGGCAACGCAGAAGGCTTCTGAGAGCAGGGGCATCATGGCTGGGGTTTGGTGGTCGGAGATGAGCTCTCCAGCACAGGGAGTGTGGGGCAAAGAAGGAGTCTTACGAAGGGTGGGTCGTCACCTGCAGGAGCCCCGGGTGGAAAGGAGCCAGGCTGGGCAGGACAGAGGGGAGCGTCCTGGGCTGTGGGGGAGTCTGCCTTCACGTGGTCTCTTCCTTCCAGCTGGACATCAGCGGCAAGCTGTACCTGGCCCCCCTCACCACGGTAGGGCCTGGCAGAGGAGGGGGCTGGTTGGCCCGGGCCCCAGGGTCCCTGCCCGCTGTGGCCTCACATGTCTTGTGTCCTGGTGGCCCAGTGCGGGAACCTGCCCTTCCGGCGGATCTGCAAGCGCTTTGGGGCGGATGTGACATGTGGGGAGATGGCTGTGTGCACCAACCTGCTGCAGGGCCAGATGTCTGAGTGGGCCCTGCTCAAACGCCACCAGTGTGAGGACATCTTCGGTGTCCAGGTCAGCGTCTCCCAGGAGGCGGGGTGGGCCCCTTGGCTGCCAGGTTTCAGAGCCACGTTCAGGATCTGCCCGGGTGACAGCCCAGTGGCCCTGGTGCAGGGCTGGTGCCTCAGAGACGATGCCAGCAGGGTGGTTGGTTGGCCACCCCCTGGGAGGCCAGGGCAGGTGGCCATGGCCGTGTGGCAGTCCCCAGGTGCGAGGCCCTGGGGTCTTCCTGCTGTGCCACAGCTGGAGGGCGCCTTCCCCGACACCATGACCAGGTGTGCAGAGCTGCTGGGCCGCACCATCGAGGTGGACTTTGTGGACATCAACGTCGGCTGTCCCATCGACTTGGTGTATAAGAAGGTAAGGTGGCCAGGCTGGGAGCTCACCTCGCTTGCCCGGTCATGAAGGTGCCGGGCCAGCTGGAGACTGGGGGGCGTGGCCGCAGACGTCGCCGTGGCACGAGTCCTGGCAGGGCTGGGTGGTCGCGGTGCCTGTGCCGTGGGCAGGGCCAACCTTCCCTCTCCCCAGGGCGGGGGCTGCGCACTCATGAACCGTTCGGCCAAGTTCCAGCAGATTGTCCGCGGCATGAGCCAGGTGCGTGATGGTTGGCCCTGCCCTGGCCCCTCCCCGGCCCCTCCCCGGCCCCGCCAACTCCCTCCTGTCCCCAGGTGCTGGACGTGCCGCTGACAGTGAAGCTGCGCACGGGCGTGCAGGAGCGTGTGCAGCTGGCGCACCGCCTGCTGCCGGAGCTGCGGGACTGGGGTGCGGCCCTCGTCACGGTGGGTCCTGGCCTGGGCTGCGGCCGCCGTCCCCACGGCCCCTGTCCCCACGGCCACCTGTGTGCCTGATCTCTGCATCTCCACCTCTGTCTCCTCAGCTCCATGGCCGCTCTCGGGAGCAGCGGTACACCAAGCTGGCCGACTGGGAGTACATCGCCCAGTGCGCCAAGGCCGCCAGCCCCATGCCGCTGTTCGGTGGGTGCCCCGAAGCCATTTCTGTCCCCCTGCCACTTGAGGCCACCCCCTTCACCAGACTCACCCACCTGCACCTCTTTTGCCCTGACGGGGGCCACCCAATGGTGGGGATCACCTAGAGCAGCTCCCGAGGTACCTTCTCTGCCCTGTCAGGAAATGGGGACATCTTGTCATACGAGGATGCCAACCGCGCCCTGAAGACGGGAGTGGCCGGGGTCATGATTGCCCGGTGAGTTCCCTGCAGGGCCCAAGGCCAGTGGCAGCTGCGTGGGAGTGAGGGGCCCACTGTGGTCCTGTGGGACCAGGACAGGCAGGGAGCGAGGGGAGTCGCAGCAGGGAGGGCTCCTGGTGGCTGTGGCTTAGGGCCCAGGCAGCCGCAGGTGACGCCCCCACCCCGTAGCGGGGCCCTGCTGAAGCCGTGGCTGTTCACGGAGATCAAGGAGCAGCGGCACTGGGACATCTCGTCCTCCGAGCGCCTGGACATCCTGAGGGACTTCACCAGCTACGGGCTGGAGCACTGGGGCTCAGACACGCAGGGCGTGGAGAAGACCCGTCGCTTCCTGCTGGAGTGGCTGTCCTTCCTGTGCAGGTGGGTGGCCCCTGGTGGGGGGCGGCCCGGGCTGGAGGCTCCTCTTGACCTGGGTCCCTGCAGGTACGTGCCCGTGGGCCTGCTGGAGCGGCTGCCGCAGAGGGTCAACGAGCGGCCACCCTACTACCTGGGCCGCGACTACCTGGAGACGCTGATGGCCAGCCAGCAGGCGGCCGACTGGATCCGCATCAGGTGCCCGGGTAGTGGGGCTGGGGCGGGCTGCCGGGGTGGCCAAGCCCCAGGTCTGATCCCCGCCCTCCCCACAGCGAGATGCTCCTGGGACCTGTGCCGCCCGGCTTCGTCTTCCTGCCCAAGCACAAGGCCAATGCGTACAAGTAGCGGCCCACAGGCCCCGGCCCCCGCGTGAACAAGACAATAAACACGGCTCACTCTGGGAGCCCAGGCCTCTCTGCGGCTCGGCCGCTCCTCGCCAGCCCCGCCTGCCGTCCCGGTCGCCCCCGCCTCCCTCCTGGCTGGCAGCCCTTCCCAGCCGACGCGATCATGCACCAGGCCTCCGGCCACCCGAGGGCCCGGTGGGGCTGTGCTTTGTGCTCCCAGAGGCCAGGACCAACCACCAGGTTGCCAGCGGGTGGTGGAGTGGGCCTCGGGGTGAGGTCAGGGCCCCTGCTGGGGGGCCATGGCTCTGAGCAGTGGACAGTGTTGCCAGAGGAGAGGACAGGCCAGGGTCTGCCCACCCCAGGGGACACCTGGCTCTCACCTCTGGGTGTCCCCTCTGCCTCCTACCCACCCTCCCACCCCCGGAACCCCACACTCCCACCCCCGGAACCCCACCTGGTGGGCAGGCCTGGGCCTGGAACCCACTGCCCCAGTAACCAGGGGCGTAGAACCCCGCAGGACTCTGAGCCTGCTCTCCGGTGGGCACCTCCACTCCCACCTGCCAGGCCCGGCCTGCCCATGCAGCACCCCAAGGCCTTCTACCCCAGCGCAGCCCCCCAGGAAGGCTTCAGCCCCAGGGGCCTGGAGAGCGCCGAGGGGCTGGGCAGCCAGCCAGCGCCCGCCTGCCCTGAGCCTGCAGCTGCCGTGGGTACGCGTGGCGGGGGTGGGGGCGGCCTCGTGGAGGTGGTGCCCAGGGCGCCTCCGCAGCTCAGGCCCTACCCACCGGGCCCCTTTGTCCACAGCCTCGAACCTCCTGTATCAGCCCCTAAGCTCGGAGAAAGAGGCGTTTCCCGCCCCTCCAGCAGGTACCGGCCACCCCAGCTCAACGAGGGCCGGAGCACTTAAGAGTGGGCAGGGCTCATCTCCCTTCTCTGCCCCCATGGGACCCTGCAGGTGGGCCTGCGTCCCCGAACCTCAGACGGGTGCCCTAGAGGAGGGGCCAGGTCCTCTGTGCCACAAGGCAGGTCCGCTTGCCTGGCTCCCCAGGTTCCCCAGAGGCGAGCTCTCCCCCCCTTGCCCAGCCTTCAAAGCACGCCCTGGGCCCTGCCTGTGGGGACCCAGAGTGAGGCCCGATCCCAGTGGGTCCCCGAAGCAAAGCCTGGGGACACCATCCCTCAGGAAGCTGCGGAGAAAGCCATGTCCTCACCTAGACAGACCCCCCAGACAGTTCAGAGCGAGGCCCGAGACGAGGCTGTGTCCCAGAGGGGCCCTTAGTCGGGAGGCCCCTGTCCCAACCCTGTGGGTGCCCACGCCCGCTGCCTGCAGGCTTCCAGATGGCGCCGTGCGGCTGCTTCTTTGACCCCCGCATCTACCGAATCGAGTGGGCCACCACCGACTTTGGCCAGTCGTCCCTGTGCAAGCTGGCCGTGGCTGGGGGCCCCGCCTCGCCAGGCAGCTACCTCCTGGAGCCCCAGCACTACCTCAAGGGCCCCGGGCCAGCCCCGCCACCGTATCCCCACTACCAGCCAGCGCCCGGGGGGCCCCAGTACCTCATGCCCTACTTCCCCCCGGAGGGACCTGGGCCCGAGGCCCTGGGCTTGGTGGGCGATGGGGGGCCCCCCGCCTTTGTGGACCTGCCCCCGCCGCTGCTCCAGGAGAGCCTGGCGCCCCCCAAGGAGAGCAGGCTGCCCCCCAAGGAGAGCAGGCTGCCCCTGCTGCTCGTCACGCTGTCCACCGAGGCCACCCTGCCCCCCAGCACCTACGGCCCCCTCAAGGGCCACCTCATCCAAGTCCATGGGTCTGAGGGGGCCGCACGGCCCAGCGAGCCCCTGGCTGTCCCCACCAAGGAGCCGCAGGGTGGCAGTGGGGCCGTGCCCAGCCTGCCGCACGCCACAGGTCCCGGGGAGGCCAAGGCCCCGGAGGCCGCGCGGGCCTTCGTGCTGCCGGACAAGGTGCTGCTGGAGGACGCCATGAAGCTCTTCGACTGCCTGCCCGCCGGCGCGGAGCCCGAGGCCACCCCGGCCACCCCGCGCGAGGTGCCCAGGCCCGCCCTGCCCGACTGCGGGGGCGGCGGCGACGACTCCTCCAGTGACATCCGCTCCCTGCACCTGCCCGACGAGCTGCTGTCCTTCGACTACAGCGTGCCCGAGATCCTGGACACCGTGTCCAACGTGGACTGCTTTTTCAACTTCAAGGCGCTTGACGAGGCCCCGCCGCTCCGCCTGGGGCCCCCTGCTGCTGACCCTGCGGCCCCTGTCCTGAGGTCTGACCCCCCGGGGAAGAAGAAGGCTGCCTCTGCCGCCAGGAAGGGGAAGCCGGGTGGCAAGGGCAGGCAGGTGGCAGCCCCCGTGGGGCCGCGGCAGGACCTGGGAGTCGCCCCCCATTAAAAGTTTTGATCTCTCAGATTGGCATCCCTTGGCCTCCAGGGGCAGGAGGCTGCGTGCGGACACCTGTGCCCTGGCCCGCGTCTGAGGGAAGGCAAGGCTGTGCCCTGCTGCGTGCTGAGGTGGGGCAGGACCTAGCACTTCTGATGCTGGCCTCCAGGGCTAGTCACAGGAGACAGTCCGGTCCCTGCGCCAGAGGCCCCAAGCAGGGGTCCTCAGGAAGTGGGGAACTTGTTTTTTCTGGTTCTGGATGGAACCCTGGGGGTGCTCTTCCACTGAGCCCCATCCCCAGCCGTTTTTCATTTTGAAACAGTCTTGCTAAGTCCTCAGGAGCTCTGAGTAGCCGGGATCACGGGTGCGCGGCACTACGTCCAGCCAGCACGAGGACTTGACTTCTGTGTTTGGTGGTGAAAATCAAGGTTTCCCAGAGAGTGGCCACGGCACACAGGGCAAGTCTTGGAGAGTGGCTCGGTCTGTACCCTACTGTCTGTCCTGTGCCCCAGGAAGCTGCACGGGTGGGAGAGGCCCTGACTCTGTGGGGCCTCTGTGGAGCCTGGGGCCATGGGCCAGGCCCTGCCGCAGCCCTGGGCCAGTGGTGGGCGAGGGGAGGCAGGCCAGGGGCTGGGCTTGTGCTGCCGACTGGCCGGGTGGTGAGGGTTAGGCACCAGCAGACCCCCCTGTGGTGGGGGCAGTGCTGGCTCAATGTGGGCGAGGTGGGTGCAGGAGGGAGGCCCAGTAAGGAGGGTGGGGACACGTGTGGCACGTGGCCCCTGAGTCCAGGTGAGGGTGTCCATCAGGGCTCCAGTGGGGACTGCCTAGGTGTGATCTGAGAAGCCAGAGACAGCCCAGCCCAGGAAGGGCAGGGTGACCCCAAGCGCCAGTGTCCTCAGCCTCCCCCCTTATCCCATGGGACTGCCCATGCACAGGCCTTCACCTGCCTTTCTGCTGTGCCCAAGGTGACCCTGAGGGGTGCCACCCCCAGGAACCTGTGACCAAACAGCAGGTGGCAGGCCGCCCATCCTGGGACGCCCCTGTGAGATGGCTCGCCTGGCTTGCTCCTCCCAGGATGGGCTGGGAGTCCTGCCCACCCTGGGCTGTCCCCTGGTGCTGGGACCTTCATCCGGGGGACCCGAGGTCTGTGCTGGGGAAGCCCAGGGGGCCTGGGACGTGGCGGGGTGCGCCACTGTGCTCAGCTTTGTGAGCTGAGGTCTGACACGGCGTGGACCCTCGTAATCAGGTCCAGCCAAGTGAGCGGAGGGGAGGAGACAGGGCTGGCCGGGCGCAAAGAGAGCTGGGAACACAAGGCAGGGTCCCTGCTGTGGTTATTGCACAAAAGGCAAAGGGTGGGCAGGCTCTGTGTGGTAGGCTCTGGGCCCTGGGGCTGGCCCTGGACTGCAGGATCCCAGTGACGGGAGGCTGGGAGCCTGCGCTGGGCACTGCTTGGTTTGCACGTTACAGACGTGAGGTTGGTGGAGAGGGCACTAAGTGTCATCTCTAGGAAACCGTGGTCCTATGGGCTTGGCCTCGGGATGCCACAGTGTCACAGAATCAGTGAAAATTGAGTGCATTGGCCACACCTATCATCCCAGCAGCTCAGGAGGCTGAGGCAGGAGGATCACATGTTCAAAGCCAGCCTCAACAAAAGCGAGGCGCTAAGCAACTCAGGGAGACCCTGTCTCTAAATAGAATACAAAACAGGGCTGGGGGTGTGGTCAAGTGTCCCTGAGTTCAATCCCCGGTACCAAAAGAAAAAAAAAAAAGGACCGAGGTGTGTCTCCCAATGCAGAGCACCCTCCCGCCTGTCCCAGGCTGGGTTCTACCCCCAGCAGGACAGACGAGTCTCCTGCGCGGCGGGAGTGGGAAGAAGGCGCCTGCTGCCTGCTCAGTCGGGACACTTTACTCCGAGGCCCCAGTGCTCAGCCCTAGCGAGGCCGGGGCTTCAGTGCCTGGCCCTGGCACAGCCGCAGCAGCACAGGCTGGCACAGCACTGTTGGCACCTGTGGCCCTCCGCGGTGTGCAGGACGAGGTAGGCCAGCCATACGGCCAGCAGGAGGCCGCTCACGAGCAGGACGATGGCGGCCTCGGGCGGGATGGCTCTGCGCGGGTAGGCCCCGTACACGTAGATGCTGAAGGTGGTCTCCAGCTGGCAGTAGCTGCGGGGGCAGGAGGGTAGGCGCTGGGACAGCCGCGGGTCCCCCGCCCACACGTCAGACCCGAGGCAGGACAGCGGACTGAGGGGGCAGCACAGTGGGCGCCAGCACTGGGCCCAGGAGGCCCCATGGACATCTAGGTGGACCTTCCTCCACAGTGATGGCTGAGAGGACTCAAGCAGGGCGAGGAAGTCGCCCATGTTGTCCCCAGGGGGACACTGGCCAACAGTACTGGGCTGGCTCCAGGTGCTCCTGATGCCCCTCGGTGGGGACAGGCTGCGTGGAGCCACCCCCCCCCCCATGCAAGTCGTAAGTCCCATGGTGGCCGGCTCACAGACCCCCTTCCCCTGAGGCCGGTGGCCCTGAGTGGCTGAGCTGCCTGTGGCCTGCCCCCGTGGGGTGTCCCCCACTGGAGGTGGCAGGAGGGCGTGGCTGCGGGCTGCCCTCCTTCCCCAGCACTGACTGTGAACTCTGAAATCCAGCCGTCCCCGGAATCCACGGGGCCAAGTTCCAGGACCCCAGGGGTTCCAGTCCCCTGTGTGAAACGGGCAGTCTGGGCACAGAACCTGTGTCCTCCCCGGGCCGGAAGTCGCCTCTGAGGGGCGGACCCCCGGCACCGGGCCGTGTAGCGATGGTTGTTACTTAGGGAATGGTGGCCATAAAAAACCTTGTACGTGTCCAGTGCAGACAGGATTCTTTAAACATTTTGACCAGTGGTTGGTTTAACTTGCAGATGCAAAATCCACAGAGGGCCAGGACTTCCGGAATGAACAAATGTCAACTAGAACTTAAAATCGTCACTCTGTAGGACAGTCTGAGCTGGGATTTTTGTTCTGTTGTCTAGGGACAGAGACAGGGCCTCACGTGTGGGAGGCAGGCAAGCGCCCTACCACTGAGCCACACCCCAGCCTTTTAACTTTTATTTTGAGACAGGATCTTGCTAAGTTGCTAAGGCTGGCCTCCAACTTGCCATCCTCCTGCCTCGGCCTCCAGAGTCACTGGGATGACAGTTGTGGCCCCAGTGCCCCATGGGAACTCAGTTCAGCCAGAATCTACCAGCCGGTGAGGGAGGGGCATAAAGGGTACCCTGCACAGGTGTGGTCCGCCCCACAGAGCCTGCCCCCAGTTTGCCAGGTGGCCCTGGTGCAGGGCAGACCAGCTGACCTGTAGTAGGGGTCCACGATGGACAGGTGGAAGATGTAGAACCCGTTCCTTTGGTCGAAGATGATCTCGTTGTCTGTTAGGCCCCCCAGGACCTGGTACTGGGCATCGGGCCACTCCAAGGCAGTGAGGTTGCTGCTGCTGTCGCGGCAGCTTATGTAGTTCTAGGGAGGGGACAGAAGCACGCCACTGGCCCTGGCCTGTCCTCCTGGGAGCTTCCTGCCACCCTCCACTGCACCCTCACAGGCACAGGGGACCCCACATGTGGGTGAGGGAAGAGGTGGGGTGGCACGTCCACAGGCCAAGAAGGCCAAGGCCGGCCAAGAGGGCCAGGGACCGGCTCTCCTCACAGCCTGGGAGGAGCCGCCCAGTTGGACTCCACGCTTGGGAACCAGGAAGGTGGAGCCCGGACTTCCCTCCGGGGGCTGTTGTTGGCTTGATGAAGGCCAGGTCAGGGGGACTGAGGCCAGTCGAGGTGGCAGCTTTCTGTCCTGTCTCCAGATTCTAGGGTGTCACTTAGAGGAAAATGAACCAGTGCCCTGCTGCGGACTCCTGAGAGTCCCGGGATTGTTGTCGGGTACGGGCTTGCACCTCGCCCAGCCTCTCTACCTCTGAGCCACACCCCAGCCCTGTTATGCTGGAGACAGGCCTTGCTGAGTTCTGGGGCTGACCTTGAACTTGCAGCCTCCTGCTCGGCCTCTGGGAGCAGGGTGCACCACTGCTCTGTGGAGGCGGAGGCTCCCTGGCAGTCAGCCTGAGGGGTCTGCAGATGACTCCAGCTGGCCCCTGGCCTGTCCAGTGACGGCTTGGCAAGCTGGCCTTCCCCAGGGGTGTCAGACTGTCCACCCGCACCAGCCCGCCCTCACCCAGGAAGCCTGCGGCTGGCCCAGAATGCTGGCTGCCCTCAGCCAGGACCCAGGCCACCTCCCGGCCCTACGCTTGGGTCCTCTGCCCCGCCTGGCCGGGGCCTCCCAGAAAGGAGGCAGGTGAGCAGAGAGGGAAAGTCCAGAAGCAATAAAGGAGAGCAACGGGGAGTCCAGGGGTAGTTGGTGTGGTGTTGAGTGAAGACCAGAGGCAGAGAGACCACCCGGGGGATGGCACGGGGCCTGCCATCAGCCACGAGCTCTTGAAAACCAAGAGAAGACCCCAGCCCGCAAGAAAACTGGCACCGCCATGGACACAGGACCCAGCACAAAGGAGTGACGGTGTCCCTCCACCCAGAGAGAGGCACCAGGGTCCTCGCTGCAGGAGCACACTCCGGAGCGCGCGTCTCCGGGCACCTTGGGACAAGCCTGCAGTGGGGAGGCCTGGGGACCCTGGGAACTGCACACCATTTAGTCTCCAGCCATCAGAGACGCAGCTCCACAGGACAGGGTTCCGGGACAGTGCCCGTCTCGGGCGTGTCTGACAGCCATGGCGCACCGCAGAGCAGGGCAGTGTGCCTGGCCTGCGTGAGGCCCTGGGTCCCAACCTCAGGGAACACAGGAACCAGGCGCCTTGTCATCAGCCCCACGGCCGCACGGCCCAGCACAGCTGCCTGCGCTGTGCTACTGGGCGACTGGCCGCTCAGTGGTGTGTCCAGAGCTGCACGGCCACAGCACACGAGGCCCCAGGTGACAGGGCGTCCTCAGCCCTGTCCTGGTCTCACAGGAGCATGGCCACACATGCGGAACTCTGACACATTCTCCCTTAAAAAGTCACCAAAGCCGGGGCTGGGCCGGGGCTCAGCGGGACAGCGCTCGCAGGGCACGCCAGCTAGGCCCTGGGTTCCGTCCTCAGCACCACGTGAAAGTAAATAAATAAATTAAAGGTGTTGCGTCCCACTACAACTAAAAAAATAACTATTAAAAAAAAGAAAAAAGGTCGTCAAAGTGCTGGGCACGGTGGCACACGCCTGTCCCGCCACGGAGTGGACGCTGGGCGGGAGGCTGCAAGTTCAAGGCCAGCCTCGGCAACTTGGCAAGACCTTCTCAAAGTAAAAATGAGAAAGGGCTGGGGCTCAGCGATGGCGCCCCCCTGGGTCCGACTCCAGAACCCCCAAAGTTCATAGAATGTGAAGCGAGTTTCATCTTTAAAAACAGGGGACTCGACAATAACGCGGCGATAGCCAGAGCCCTTGACGGGCTGGGGCTGGGGCTCCGCCGCAGAGCACTTGCCGCGCACGTGTCCGGCCCTGGGTGCATCCTCAGCACCTAAAGGAGAACCCACAGGATCAAGGCCACGAGACCGAGAGCCGGTCACCTCGCTGGACAGCGCTCGGGCGGAGGCGCGGGAAGCGCGCGCCCCCTGCTGGCGGCACCGCTCTGCGCTCGGCCTTTAACCAGGTCTGTTTCCCAGCTGACCACAGACCACCCCGCACTGTGGAAACGCTCACGGAGAGCTCAGACCCCGAGCTGAGTCAGTCCGCGGAGATGGCGTCCGGCGGACGGCGGGCTCACCCCCTCAGCAGGGCCCAGTGGACCGTGGTCAGTTCCCTTGCGGATTTCCAAAGGACGGCCCTGGGCCACGCTCTCCCATCCCACCGGGGCTGCGACCCTCCCCCTCATCCAGGCTTGATCTGTGCAGGCCAGAGGGTCAGCACTACCTCTCTGTTCCAGGAGAAGGGTCCCTTCTTGGAGGACGTCTCCAGGATGCTGGTCCAGTTCTGGGGCTGGTTGATGCATGAGGCGGAGCCAGCTGTCATGGCGTAGGAGTAGGTGAACACCCCGTTCACCTCCAGCAGCACGTACTCCGCGCTCACGATCTCCTGGAAGTCCGACTTCCGCCACCTGGGACACAGTGCGGGGCAGGGCGGCTCCAAGGACCTGAGAAGACCTCTGCCACAGCTGCCCACTGCGTGGACCTGTCCTGGGGGTGGGGGGCCGCGCCAAGTGCAGGGAGAGGGGACAGAGTGGGGGCCAGGCACCGGGCAGCAGCCTCTGAGAGGGACCCGATGAGTAGGGACTGGAAGAAGCTGATGCCATGTGTCGGAACCAAGTAACGTCATGATAAGCACAGGGACAGATCCCACGCACACTGAGCATGTGTGAGGCCCCGGGCCTTGCACACGCTAAGCATGCCATCACCAAGCGGCACCCTGCCCAAGCAAACAGGACTCTTCCCTGTCCCCAGAGGTTTCTGGTGACATCTGCAGCTTAGTTGGCTCCCCTCATGCGGCAGCTGCACCGTGGGTCCAACCAACCAGAGGCAAGTGACAAATGTTTGAAAAGCAAGCTGGGCCTGGCGCAGTGGCACACGCCTGTGATCCCAGAGGGCAGAGTGACCACCGCCCTGAGGAGGCCCCCAGACGAGGGCCCAGAGGTGTCCCCATGCTGGGCACCCACGGGGCTCTTACAGCTCGATCACGGGCTTCCAGGGGGTGTCGTAGTAGACGAGACGCGGGCAGCCCAGGTCCTTGTACGAGTACTGCACCACCAGGTCCTCGTCGGACCGCTGCCCCTGGTAGCTGGAGTCGTAGGATTCCCTTTAAGAGAGCAGGAAGCAGCGACGGGCAGTGGGGTCAGCTCCTGCCCACTGCCGGGCCCTTTGCAGCCTGTTTTCCCTCTGCAACAGGGACTTTCACCAGAATGGAGGTGACATCTAGGGGACAAGCTTCACAGTCAAGACCCAAAGACACTGGGATTTCCTGTTAATTTTGTGTATCAACGTGGCTGGATCACTGGGTCCAGGCATTTGGTGGAACATGATCTATTTCTGTGAAGGCGTCTTTTCTGGTTTCTGAATGAGACTGACGTTTACATCAGGGCTCTCTGAGTGCTGTGGAGGCCCCACCATGTTGGGTGGGCTTGCCCAAATCAGGCGAAGGCCAGAACAGAACAAACACCTACCTGCCCCCAATCCCAACCCTTGTGCCGTAGCGGATGGCCATGTGGCTCAAACTGCAGCTCTTTTCTGGGCTCCAGTTTCCACTACCCTGCAGATGTCCGAAGTTCCAGGCCTCAGCCAATTCCTTACAATCAGTCTTTCTCCTCCCCTTCCTCCGTATCTACAGCTACAGGCATCCCTCAGGATCCGAAGGGGATTAGTCCTACGGGGATGGGTTCTGGGATTCCCCGAGGACTCCCAAATCCACAGATGCTTGAGTCCCTTATGTAAAAAAGTGCAATATGCCAGGCATCCCAGCAGCTCGAGAGGCTAAGGCAGGAGGATGGCGAGTTCAAAACCAGCCTCAGCAATTCAGCGAGGCCCTAGGCAACTTGGAGAGACCCTGTCTCTAAATAAAATACTTTTTAAAAAGGGCTGGGAAGGGGACTGGGGATGTGGCTCAATGATAGAGCGCTCACCTTGCACACGTGAGGCCCTGGGTTTGATCCTCAGCACCACATTAAAAAAAATAAAAATAAACAAAAACAAAGATATTGTGTCCATCTACAACTAAAAAAATATATATTTAAAAAAAGGGCTGGGGCTGGGGCTCAGTGGCTAAGTGCCCCTGGGTCCAATCTCCGGTGCTGGAAAATAAATGGTAAGGTGTGGTATTTCGCAGAACCTGTGTGTCACCTGTGGGTGGCCTTCGAACACACTTGTAGGTGTCGGTGATGGCTCTGGTGCTGTGGTGTCGAGGGGCAGTGGCGGGCCACACGTTCGGCACAGACAGTCCTGTTGCCTGACTCTGCCGCCACGGCTGGCCTCTGGCTCATGAGCTCAGGTGACAGTCCTGCCTCAGCCCCAGGGTCAGGGACTACACGTGCGGCCACCAGGCCCTGGTCCGCTGCACCCTCCCATCCAGGCTGGGACTGTCCAGCGGTCCCGCTACCTCGGGGGAGACCCAGAGCCGGGGCAGCTGGGGCGGTGTCCAGAGGCGCCCGGGGCCTGGCACCGTGGCTCTTTCTGGGTGGCTTTGCCCTGTGGGCGGCGACCTCCTGGCTCTGGTCCTCACCCTGCATGGACTCTCTCTGGCCAGATGTCAGCCCCCCTCACCCCTGCCCTGCCCTGCTGTGCTGGCGGGGGCAGCCTTACTTCTCGATGACGTAGGAGTAGTTTTTCTGGAGCTCCACGGGGTCCAGGATGCCCTTAGAGCAGGCTGAGATTTTGCTGTGAGCAAGAAAAGATGGTGAGCGATGCCTGGCCTGGAGGGGACCTCCGCAGCCAGGGACAGGGGGGAGGAGCTGGGGGCAAGGATGCAGGCAGTGGGGCTGACGTGGCGAGGGGGCGGCTCGCCACCTAGAGGGTGCAGCTGGGCTGGGGCTCAGTGGCAGAGCGCTTGCCCAGCACGTGGGAGGCACAGGGTTCCATCCTTAGCACCGCAGAAAAACAAATAAAATAAAGGCACGCTGTCCTCCACATCGACAAAAAATAAAAACATAAAAATGTCACCTAGAGGCCGGGCGCGGTGGCCACACCTGTCATCCCAGCGGTTCAGGAGGCTGAGGAAGGAGGATCATGAGTTCAAAGCCAGCCTCAGCTACAGCGAAGCCCTAAGCAACTCAGTGAGACCCTGACTCTAAATAAAATACGAAACAGGGCTGCGGGTGGGGCTCCGTGGCTGAGTGTCCCTGAGTTCAATCCCTGGCACCAAAAAAATAAAAAAAGTCACTTAGGATGTGGGCTGCCCTACATGTAACAGGAGCTACCGTCTTGATCAGACTCCAGTGCACAGTCCAGGGTCCTGGGGCAGACACAGGGCTATGCAGCCGTCCCCACCACCCTCTCCAGAACATTCCATCTCCCCACACTGAAGCTCGGCCCCTGCCACACCAGCTCCTGGGGGTGAGGCTGCCGCATGTCCTGCTGGGGCTGCGTCTCTGAGCACAGTGTCCCTGGGGTGCGCCCACGTTAGAGCAGGAGTCAGGGTGCTGTGGTGTGCATGGCGTGAGGGCCCCTCGCCCCTCGTGACCCACGGTGCCCCACGCCTCGGCTCTCGTGGGTCGTGCTGCTGAGGACATGGCTCTTCTGGGTTTGCTCCCAGCAATGGGACGGCCCCAGGGTGTGCAGATCCTGTGTCTCCCTTCTCCGAGGGCCGCTGCTCCCCACAGTGGCTTCCCGTTGTCCCCTCATGCCCACCGTGCGCAGGGTCCGACCTGGCCTTGTCCTCCCAGCGCCTCTCATGCACCAGTCAAGCCCAGCAGCGTCTCGCTGGGTGCGAGGCGGTCTTAATATGTTTCAGCTGTAGTTGACACACCACCTTTTCATGTGGTGCTGAGGATGGGACCCAGGGCCTCACACGTGCCAGACGAGCGCTCTGCCACTGAGCCCCAGCCCAGCCCTGAAACAGCTTTTCGAGACAGAAGCCTGGACCCAGAAAGTCTCCACAAAGTTCGTCTTGAAGAGCCCATGCCCTGGTGGTCCGCGAAGATGGGCACACAAGGCTGGGGGCTCTGTAGCTTCACGTGCAGCCTCAGATGTCCCTAAAGACAGGGACAGCTTACTGGCCACATGCAGGAACACTCTGCAGCTGATAAAAAGGTGAGGCCTAGCTGTGCAGCCTGATGTAGGAAAGACATCCCAGATGGAGTGTCAGGGAAGGGGGTTCAGTGGATGGAGCTGCTACGCGGCCCCTAAGGAGAACAGAGGTATGCAGGACATCAGGAGTGACAGTGACGTGCTGCGGAACAGTCTGGATGAGTACATATGGCCTTGCTGCGGGGGTCCTCTGCTCCCCACCCAATCCCTCACCAGCCCCTGTGACGGGCTCCTGTGGCCAGAGTGTTGATTTCGGCCCTCTCCTGTGGGTTTCTTGCCTTTACGGCCTCCCTGGCCCCAAGGCCTCGGCCGCGCACCTGGCCGTCCGCCTTGGAGAGCTGGTCTCCATCCGTCCAGGCTGGCTGGCGGAAGAGGAGAGCAGAGCGAGAGGCCGCCATGAGTGGGGGCAGTCGGAGACGCCGAAGGAGAGGACAGCACGGCCGCTGGATCCCGGAGGGCGAGGGCCTCGGTGCACAGGCCTCCGTCCTGGGTCTGATTCTGGGGTCTGCACTCCCCTGGCTGGCAGGTGCACCGCCAGCCTGTGGCCAGGACAGGCGGTCCAGCGGGGCAGGCTGGGTACTGCTGCGTTGGGATGGGCTTTGTCCCCACCGAACCTCCAGTGAAGGTAGAGAGTGGGGGGGGGCACAGTGTGGCCTTGGGGTCACCAGGGACCTGCCCTGGTGGAAGAGCTGATGACCAGTGTGGCTCCTGGGAGGGGTGAGTCACGGTGACGACGGGGCCTCGGATCAAGCCACCTGACACAGCACAGCACGAGGCCACACCAGGTGCAGAGCAGGGCCTGCTTAGTGCTCTTGAGTTAAACTAACCTCTTATCTTTGCAAATTACTGAGTCTCAAGTATTCTATCATAGCAACAGCAACGGGCGAGGATGGACACATCAGAATACGCAGGGTGGCCTCGGGGGTGGACGTGGAGAAGTAGCTGTGTGCTCTAAACTGACCAGAGCAGGACGAGTCTTTCCAGAGTAACCAGGCAAGAGCACGAGGCACAGTCACACACACTTAGAAAGAAAAAGTGTGTGCGTGTGTGTGCATGTGTGTGTGTGCATGTGTGTGCGCGTATGTTTGTCAGTTGGCCTGGGTGACACAAAGTCTCAAAAATCCACCTCTAGGCTGGGTGTAATCCCAGGAGCTCAGGAGTCTGAGGCAGGAGGATTTCAAATTTGAGGTCAGCCTCAGCGACTTAGCGAGATCCTTTGTCAAAATAAAAATTGAAAAGGGCTGGGGCTGGGGATGTGGCTCAGTGGTAGAGCACCCCTGGGCTCAATTCCCAGCACCCTTCCCCCCAAAACCCACATCTCTATCTATCCATCCGCCCGTCCCTGTGTGACCCATTTCTCTGTCTCATCTGTCGGACCCCCGTGTCTCCCGCCCCGGGCACAGTGCACCCGTACCTGCCCCCACAGATTGTTCCCAGTGGTTCTGTTGGGACCCTCGAGCGCCCCAGGCAGCCCTCCTCCCCTGCAGTAGCGCCCTGCTCTGTCCTGTGCAGGCCCCGCGGGCTCTTGGGAAGCAGGTTTTCAGAGCTGACCTCAGAAGACCAGGGCCAGTCCTGGACCCTAACGGAGGCCGCCATGGCCCTGACTTTTCTCTTTTGCGCCTGGGGACTGACCCAGGGTGCCTGGCCACGGCGGCACCCTCCTCATTTTGAGACAGGCTGTCCTTGACCTGGCCCCCTCCTGCCTTCCAGTGTGGGATCACAGGCATGCGTCACCGAGCCGGGTGGCCCTGGGTGGTTTTATTTTAGGTCGGTTCTACGTTTGCAGAGCACTTGCTCATCGCTCATGCACTCACACTTGCCGTGGCTCGGGGACCCAGTGAAACACTGCTGTCACTGGGCTCTTCTGCTGCCGTGGCTTCCCCAGCACCCTCCCATCCTGCAGCCCCACGGGGTCCCACGCGACATCTCGGCCTCAGTCTCCTTGGGCTCCTCGAGGCCGTGGCAGCTGGGCAGGACTGGCCGGGCTTCGGCAGCGTGTCCATCCTGGGGGTCTGTCTGAGGTCTCCGCCGAGGGGGCTGGGGGACCACGGAGGGGCGGGGCCATCTCCTCAGGTCAAGGCACAGCAGAGCCAGCAGAGCCACCAGCGCGGGCAGCTGCACTGCGGGGGCAGGAGAAGTCCTCAGGTGCAGGTGCAGCGCAGACGGGCAGGGCTGCAGTGGCCCGCCTGGCCTCCTGTCGGTGGCTCTCACTGCACGCTGGCATTTGTGCCAAGCGTCAGGGGACGTGGCCTGGCTCCTTCTGTTCACTGTGACATTCTGCTGCGTCAGAACGCCACACTGGGGTGCTTCACTCCCTCTGGGGCACTCGGCCTGGCTCCTCTTGGAAGCTGTCAGGATAAGCCACGGTGACCACTCTGGGCCGCTGGGTCCTCGGGGGCTTGCAAATGGCCGGAAGATGTACACCCCAAAAGCGGCTCTGAGCCTGGAGCTATGGGACCCCAACCTCACAGGACTCCCCGCTGCCAGACTCCAGAGCCTGGCCGTCCTCAGGTGCGCGTTACCGGGTCTCGTCAAACTGGGGATCAGCCCGGAAGTCTCCACCACTGAGCTCCACCTCGGCCTTGTTATTTGGAAACAGGGTCTCACCAAGTTGCCCAGGCTGGCCTCCAATTTTCAATCCTCTTGCCTCAGCCTCCGGCAAAGCTGGGTGGCGGGCGTGGCGACCCCATCAGCTCTCCTGAGAGCTAAGCTCTAATGTGCGTCCCCCGCTCGGTGAGCTGGCGCCTTCCCCGCAGCAGCGTCCAGTGTGTTCTACAGCCACTGGCGTCTCTTTTCCCTTCCTTGTTTGGAAAGTGCTGGTTCAAGCCTTTGCCCAACTTTTTTGGAACAAACTGTGTATTATTTTACAACATTTCCTGCAGATAAGGATCAGGGTATATGATCCATCAATTGCGCAGACCCTTCCATGTTGGGGGGAGACCTGGGGAAACTGCCATCCAGCCTGTCATTACCCTGCGCTGCTGCGAGACAGCCACCTGACCCTCGGGGATTCATGAGCCTGAGATCAGCGGCCACCTTGGGGCGTTTACACCACAGGAATGGGCAGGTGCCACGCGTCAGGTGTCCACCCAGAGCGGCTGTGGCCTGCCCAACAGCACAGCAGCATCTGCGGGGACAGGGAGGCCAGGAGCCCCGCTCGGTTTCTATGCTGTTTTCCTTGGGTTCCCAGGACTCTGTTTCCCGGGGGGCGATCATGATACTGGAGACAAATTTTCTAAATTATTCTTAGCAAGAGATCAAAGCCGAAGACCCTGCGCAATTCTGATCAATAGGGGGCTGAAAGGAGGAAACAGAACACGCGGGTGAGAAGGAAGAGGAGGCAGTGAGCTCTGTCTGGTGCGGGAGGGACGCGGCAGAAGCCGGCTCAGCCTGTCCACGGTGGTTATTTAACTGACTTTTTGGGGTTGGTACTGGGGTGAACCTGGGCCTCAGGCATGCTAGGCAAGCGCTCTGCCAGCAGATTATTTGACATTTCACTGTGGGAATGTGAGACGAACAGGAAATAGTTGAACACACGACGACACCCACTTCAGCAGCTGTCCCTTGTGGCCACCCAGCTGTGTGCCACCCCACCCGCGTATTGACACACTTACTTCTGCACAACGATCTTCTTTTCCAGATCACAACCCACCGAAATGAGCATCGACTGCAGAGGACAGAGAGGGACAGGCAGGTCAGGGAGGGAGGGCTGCAGCCGCCAGAGAGCACAGCCCAGGCACATGCTCACACAGGAAGGCGGAGGCAAAGGGTCAGGGCCTACCAGTGGCTTCATGTCCACACACGAAATCTCCCTGTTGGCGATGTCCACAGTCAAAGTAGAGATCGTGGGGCGCTTTATGCTGTACAGCAGGGGTGTGCGTTGTCAGTGGGCACAGAGGCATCGTCTACCCTCACCAGTCATCTACCAATCCACCACCGTCCACCATCCACTATCCTCCCACCCACCACCCATCTCCCAATCCATCCACCCACTCACCCCCCCACCCTCCCACCCATCCACTCATCCATCCTCCCACCCACCCATCCACCTAATTCATCAACCTACTCACCCACCCACCCACCCATCATCCACTGATCCATCCATCCACCATCCACCCACCCATCCACCCATCCCTAAATGCTGAGAACCTCTGCTCAGGTGGAGGCCTAATTTCTCTCAAGTTTCCACCTCTTCCTGTGCCAGTTTTGTTGGTTGTCGCCTAGCTGCTGTGGATTGAATGTGCCCCCAACGCTCAGGTGTTGGAAACCTAGTCCCCGAGGCAACACTTTCGCCAGGTGGGGGCCGAGGAGAAGCCACTAGCTCAGCAGGATGAGTGACTGCTTCCGGGGGAGGGGGGTCCGCTCGCGCAGGGACTGGGAACCACCGTGAGCCTGCCCCGTCACTGGCTGGGGCTCGGGCTCTCCAGCCTGCCCCCTCCCACCGTGGGGTGACACAGTGAGAAGGTCATCACCAGACACCAGCACCCTGGCCTGGGGCTTCCGGCCTCCAGAACCAGGAGGAGTCGTCTGCTCTTTGCAGTCGCCCAGCCCTGGGCGGTCCACCATGGCCGCAGACACCCGGCAGGGCCATCACTTGTTAAAACCACCCCTGACGTCAGCGTGTCACCGCTGAGCCAGCCCGGACTCGCGGCTCTGCCACCAGCTTCTGCACCCCCTGTGGGACCCTCAATCGGGACTGCGGGGTGTTCCTGTCAAATCCGTCTCTGAACAGCCGCCGCATCTGCATCTTTATACCCTTCCCTTCTATCCAATAAGCTCCAGGGTGTACGGGCTCCTGCTGGTGACTCTTCCTTATTATTCCTCGGGCTCCCTGGTCACTATGCCTTCATCTCCCTGTCATTCAGGTCCCCTAAGGGTAGAAGTGCCTGGGGTGCACATTTCCTGAGACGTAAATGTTTAATGGATGAATGAATTTGTGAACCTCTATAACTGCCATCCCTGAGGCTCCCCACTCGCCCTGCAGCTCAGGAATTCTGAGGGTCCTTTATTTGGCCCCTCCTTTCTGTTGCTCGGCCCCGCCCCCGCCAGCTCGGCCCCGCCCCCGGCCCTTCTTTGTGACGTTCTCATTTAATATTTAGTTATTCGTTTTTCACGGGGGTAAAATCCAGATAGCTCAAGGCTGGACACACCAGCCGCGTCTGCGGGCGCAGCTCAGGGGCGCGGCCACCCCCGTCCCCACCCTGGCCGGACTCGGTGCCTGGGCCGCGGCCCCGCCCCCCGGCCTGCTCCCCACGCTGCCCGTGGTGGACCCGGGAGTGGACCCCGCTGCATGCCCTCTGTGCCCGGCTCATGTCACCAAGCACCACTGCTGCGCTCCGGGTTTCCCACTTTCTGAGCGCGGACCTGGGCTCGGGGAGCTGCCGCTGCCCACGCTGGCCACACACGTCCTTTTGAGACCTGCTCTCCCTTCTTTGGGGAGAACCCTCAGGGGGACGGCGGCCCCCGCGTGTGCTAATTCTGTTTACTTTGCAAAGCGTTTGCAATTGTTCTCATCCCCGTGTCCTGAGCTGGGGTCCAGCTCAGCCTTGTCTCTCTCCCAGGGAACCCCGGCAGCCAGCAGGAGCCCCTCCTCTTCCAGACGGCCACATACCTGGAGGTGAAGTTGGGGGAGGCCCTGCCCCAGTGGTGCTGCTGCTTGAGGTCAATGTCCTAGGTACCAAGGAAAAGGCCCCACCTGGAGCAGGGCTCCCGGATGTCCCCCGATCAGAAGGAGGAGAGCTGAGGAGAGGGGGTTCTGGGAGGACCCCAGAGCCTCGCAGCCCCCTGGCCAGGCTGCCCTTGGGGGCCCGGCTCCTGGAAGCTCCAGGGTGCTGCCCGAACTGAGAGCACCCACTCCCTGGCGGTGTCTGTCCCTGGAGCAGCCACGTCCCAGTCACCTAGGTGTGATGGGGCCGGCTGGACCGGACTTCCCTGCAGCCAGTCACACTGGCAGGCCCCGTGCAAACTGCCCTGTGCTTCCCTAGCGCTGGGTCCAGTCCACACTGCAGGGGGTGACCGCGAGGCCTGATGGGTGCACACGCACAACGGGTCCCAGACTGCTGGGCTGAGTCCCTCCCTGGTGTGGCCCAATCCTGATGCCTCAGTTGACCCACCTTGCCCAGGGCTCACGCCCTGCCTGGGCTGGCCAGGCTCCCTGCCAGGCTGTCCTGCCAGGCTCCCATGTGAGGTTGTGATGAGGTCACGTGTGGGTGACAGCTGCCTGTCCCCTGCCAACAAGGGGCAGGGGTGCATCCACCCAATTCCCCGATGCTTCACCCTCTGTATGTGCAAGCAAGGGAAGCAGGAGGGAGGTCCCCTCCATGAAGGCCCGAGGTCCCCCAGCCTGACTGCTGGGACTTACCAGTTTGTACACGATGTTGCCGTCGAAGGTGTTGTCAGCCTCCTCGTAGATGGAGGCCTGCAGCCCCAGGGAGTAGGGGTTACTCACCATCACCTGGGGAGCGAGACGGTGGGGGCGGCTGTTAGAGCCAGCAGCCCGAGCAGGCAAGCGCAGGGGACCCGTCCTCCTCAGGTGAAGACCAGCCTCGCCCTGAACTGCGGCTGCTGGTCCCATGCCCCGCCACGTGCCCTCGTCCACCCACCCTCTGCTGGACCTCAGTGCCACTCTGCAGGTGGCTGCAGCTGGGCGACCCAGGCCTTTCCTGTAGAGGAGGTGGGGGGAGGGACCCCTGGGGAGAGCAGAGGCAGCCCTGGTCCCAGGCCTGGGTTGGGAGGGGTCATGCGCCTGCCATCTCAAAGAGGCAGCCTCGTCTGCCATCCCAGCTTACTCGGGAGGCTGAGGCAGGAGGATCACAGGCTTGAGGCCAGCCTGCGCGACTTAGTGAGACCTTGTCTCCAAAAGAAAAAAAGAAGAACTCTGGGGAGGGGTGTCCTTGACAGACTAAGGCCAGGAGACCGCCTTGACCACTGGACTGGTGGCCGGGTTGCCGCGAAGCTGAACAAACTCTTTGACGTAAGCTTGACGTCCACAAGCTTCCACAGCCCCTCCCCCCATGTCCTAACACCCCGATTTCACTCCCCTGAGGCAGAGGTCCATCCCCGGCTAGTCCTCCCTAGGTCACAGAGGACGCCTGAAAGCAAAGAGTGGCACTCCCCTCACTGCTCAGAGCTCGCTGACTTCTGAAGATCCCAACCACAGGGAAAATTCCCAGCTCGCCCTCTTCTCCGTTCATCCCTCAGATGCTGGATGCCTGGATCCAGCCAAAGAGCCCGCACAGAGCTAAGAGGGGTCCTGCAGGCGGCCCACTACCTTCCCGCCACCTCAGGCACGCGGTCCCCACCCTCAGCTTGATGTCCTGCATCCAGGTCCAGGTGCATGGCCTGGGCGTGGGTCCTGGAACCCTCCTGCCTTGCCCCGCACCTGCCCTGGGTGGGACTCGCCTGGGGCTGCTCGGTGAAGGGTGGGGAAGGGCCTGGTCAGCCACAAACTCAGCACAGAGGCTGGCTGTGGAGTCACCTGCAGAGGGTCTCACAGTCACCTGAAGAGGCCTCTCTCCCCGGGTGACGCCAGGAGCGTCCAGAGTCTGGGCACAGCCTGGGCGCTGCCAAGGCAGTGGCCTAGCGCTGACCGTCAGGGGCATCAGAGACTCACTCACCAGTGGAATGGGGGACATGCCCAGCCGGGGTATCAATGTGAAGGACAAGTTGAGTTTGCTGTTCATGTCAATGGTGTACATCTCAGATTCTAATCTGCTTTCCAGAAGTTCTATCTGGTCAGGAAGACAGGATGAAAGGGTCAGCCCCTACTTCCAAATAGAAGGGGCGGTGAGTGGTAATTGACGCAGGGGCCCTGGGGATGGAGCCCAGGTCTGGCTGGGCGGGTCACCTGGACTTCCACTTGTGCCGCTGTCCTCCCTGCCAGCCCGGGGAACCCTCCCCGCCCCCCAGCCGCTTCCTGTGCATCTCGAGCGTGCTGCTGCCTGGATGTGCGTTCCTGCGCCTCCTGGCTCTGCTGGACATGGTCATCTCTTTGAGGTCTCTGTCTGCTATGATCCAAATATGATTTGTCTCCCGGAAATCAGGCAGAGCTTAATCCCCAAAGTTCAATGCCGATGGTATTGAGGAGGTGGAAGCCTGATCCCACGAGGCACAGAGGTAGGGCCTCTGGGAAGTGACTAGATGGGACAGGTCACTAGGATGGAGCCCCATGACCGGAGGCCTGGTGGCTTTATCAGGACAGAAATGGAGACCACACACCTCTGCCACCATCTGATGCAGCTAGGGAGGCCCTTCCCAGAATCCAAGCTACACTTGGAGTCCAACCTCCAAACCAGAAGCCAAAAAAAATAAACCAGTTCTTTTTTTTTTTCCAAAACATAACCTGCCTCTAGTATTTCATTATGGTAACGAAAAGCCAGCTAATACGCCTGCCACCAACAGGTCCCCTTTATTTCTTTAGTTCCCTTTCTGCATATCTCTGGGGAACCCTGGCTGTTGGGGTGAGCCTAGAGCTCTCTGGGATGGCTGAACATGTTCCTTTGCCCTCCGCGTTTCTGGGAAACTCGATGGCAGGATCCAGGCGACCCAGTGGACTTGGGTTTGATGGCGCTGGTGGGACGTGGTGGGTGATGTGAGCGCCCAGTGTGGCGCCTGCTCTCTAACGTAAACCACTGTTGTCCTCCGAGCCTCTCTGTTCCCTCGCTGGGTGGCCAGAAGGACTGCTTCATGCTTTTAGACAGGATCATTTTGTCAGGAGACCAGCTGCTCACCCAGTGGAAAGGTGCAGGAGGTCTGGGGAAGGACACGGCCTGCGGGCCAGCAAGTAGGAGGCTGAGGCAGGAGGACCACAACTTCAAGGCCAGCCTCAGCGCTTAGTGAGGCTCTGCCTTAAAATAAACACAAAAAGGTCTGGGGGTGTCGCTCACCCCTGGGTTCAATCCTGGATCCCACAAAAATATTATCAAAAATACTAATTTAGGGGGCTGGGGATGTGGCTCAAGCGGTAGCGCACCCGCCTGGCATGTGCGGGGCGCTGGGTTCGATCCTCAGCACCACATACAAATAAAATAAAGATGTTGTGTCCACCGAAAACTAAAAATAAATATGAAAAAATTTTCTCTTTTAAAAAAATATTAATTTTAAAAAATTAATTTAAAAAACTTAACATAGGGATAGCGCTGCAAAAATAAAAAAATAAAGAAAGAAAGGAAAACATGAGAGTAACATCTGTTCCTTTCTGCGACAGGGACACGGAGGTGCTCCTGAGGAGACTTGGGGTGCAGGGCTGGCAGACTCAGCTGACCAGAAGCCCGCCCGTCACGTGTGCTCCCGTCCCTCCTGGAACCCTCTCGGGGACTTCCCGGGCCTGCTGGCCGTGGCCTCCACCTCTGGATCTTTTCCCAGTGCTGGGGCTGAGCCCGGCCCCCTCCCCAGGCCCACAGCTCGGCGTCGGGCCGTGCACCTTGCACTGTTTCACCTGGAGGCCGGGGCCCATGAGGATGGCCTGGATGTTGATCGGGCACTTCTGCATGTCAAAGGTGGGGAAGGCGGCGTCGGGAAGCGGCGTCAGGATGTCCAGCATCCCCACCCCGGAGAACATCAGCACTGCCTCTGGGAACCAGACGGACCCCTCGGCCAGCTAGGGGAGGCAGGTCTGAGGTAAGACGCGGTTTTATCCTGTGGCTCGGAATTAGAGACGCCCCCCTCCCCGAAAGGCAAAGCCTTGGGTCCCATGGGAGCTGCTCTCTGGGGCTCCCAGCCTGGGGGGCCTTGTGGGAGGTGGCCAGGAGTCTCGCCTGGCCACAGGGCACCAGCCTCTTGGGAGAGTCAAAGGCAGCTACAGAATTTGTCCCCAGGACACCATAGCCCTGGATGCCACCATGGGGACCTCAAAGAAATGGTCCTCACATTTGTGCTTCAACCCAATTAACTCTCTGTAGTCACCACCAGGAACTTCTGGGAAGCCTGGGGGGGACAGAGGGGAGCATGGAAAACACGGCAGTGGGGGAGGGCCTGCCGGGCAAGACACTGGGAGGCCCCACGCCAGCGCCCCTGTGGCCTGGTGGACGGGCCGGCCGGGCCGGGGACCCTGCTTCTCCACCTGTCAGATGGGGCAGCAGAAGTGACTTCCCCACAGGGCTCACTGAGGACTCTGGGCAAGGTGACAGCCGGGACTGAAGGGGACCTCACAGGGGTACAGGGGACAGGGGACAGAGCCTGGGCAGGGGCCGGGGAGTGCAGGTGGGTGGGAGGAGGGTTCAAAAGTGCGAGCAGGGAGGGGCTGGGGCTCAGTGGGCGGGGGGCTCGCCCAGCAGGCACAAGGCCCTGGTCCGCCCCAGCACCACACACACACACACACACACACACACGCGCGCACACACATACACACACGCGTGCACACACACGCACACACACGCACACGCACACATACACACACGCACACGCACACACATACACACACGCGCGCGCACACACACGCACACAGTCCAGTAAGGAGGATTTTGAGTGTTTCTGACACAAAGGAAAACTGAATGGCTGAGGTGATGGACAGCCAATGACGCTGGCCTGTCGCCCACTGAATACACACATTGGAGCATGCGGCTCAGCACACATATAAATAAACAAGCCGCGGTGCACACACATCCCCTGCACACGTGTCTTTCCATACACACACGTGTGCATCAACGTGCATCGGCTGACTTTAAACCCAAGTCCAGCGTCTCCCACACCCACAGACGCAGGGGGCCGGCTCTGCTCCTCCCTAGGTGCTCGGGGTCTCGCCTCCCGCTGCTGCTATTTTAATAGCCCCGAGGAGCCGGCCTCTGGCCTCCCCGACCCGGGAGCAAGCAGAGGAGGGGAGGGGGCTGTGGCCACTCGACTGTCACCCACCTGGATGATGGAGTTGGACAGGAATTCCAGACTCCCGAAGTACAGAGCGTCCTCCTTGGTCAGCACGGCCAGCGTGTGCTCATCTAGGACAGACAGGCAGACCCGGGTGGTGGCCTCTCCGTGAACAGAAGAAGCCTCGTGGCTCTGCTCTGAGTGCTGCAGCCGCGAGCGCCCTCCCGATGACCCACGGCAGCCACCCCACAGACACCTCTGGAGCCCGCACGTGGCTTTAGCTAACAGGCACAAGCTGGGCTCCCGCCTTTTTCCTTCTGTCCTTTTTCCTGATCACAGCCATCAAATAAGTGGGCTGTGTCTCAATAGGGTGGTTTTTTGTCTTCTTTGTTGCGGTGCTGGGGATGGAACCCAGGCCTCCTGCAGGCTAGACAAGCGCTCTCCACCAGCCACAGCCCTCCTTAGGCTTCGACTGGCCTTTGCCTACTTTCACATCCGCTGCAGCATGATTTACAAACCCAAGATGTGGGACAACCCAAAGTCTACTGACGAAAAAATGAAGGAAATGTGGTCCAGCCATACAATGGAATATTATTTGGCCTTACAAAGGAAGGAAATTGGGGACTGGGATTGTGGCTCATCGGTAGAGCGCTCGCCTAGCATGGGCAGGACCTGGGTTCCATCCTCAGCATCACATAAAAATAAAGACATTGTGTTGTGTCCATCTACACCTAAAAAATAAGTATTGAAGAAAGGAAGGAGGGGCTGGGGATGTGGCTCAAGCGGTAGCGCGCTCGCCTGGCATGCGTGCGGCCCGGGTTCGATCCTCAGCACCACATACAAACAAAGATGTTGTGTCCGCCGAAAACTAAAAAATAAATATTAAAATTCTCTCTCTCTTAAAAAAAAAAAAGGAAGGAAATTGGATGGTGTGGGTGTAATCCCAGCTCCTTGGGAGACCAAGGCAGGAGGATGGCACATTGGAGACCAGCCTTGGCAACCTTGCAAAACCCTATCTTGAGTAACAGCTAACCAGGGCTGATGGGGGCTCTATGTCTAGCACGTGCGAAGCCGGGGTTCCATTTTTTCCAGTCCTAGGGAAAAAAAAAAACAAAAACAAAAAGAAAGAAAAGCACCATGCACCGTTAGTTTTTTAAAAAATAAATATGTTTTTAGTTGTTGATAGACCTTTATTTTATTTATTTATTTTTTTATGTGGTGCTGAGGATCGAGCCTAGGGCCTCACACATGCTAGGCGGGCACTCTACCGCTGAGCCCAACCCCAGCCCTGGATTTCTTTCTTTCTTTCTTTCTTTTTTTTTAGAGAGAGAGAGAGAGAATTTTTTAAATATTTATTTTTTAGTTTTCGGCGGACACAACATCTTTGATTGTATGTGGTGCTGAGGATGGAACCCGGGCCGCACGCATGCCAGGCGAGCGCGCTACCGCTTGAGCCACACCCCCAGCCCCCCTGGATTTCTTATATAACTAATTTCTCTAATTATAAATTAATTTTAAACAGATAAATGGACACAGAGGATAGGATGCAATGCATAATTAGCAAACGGGAAGCACTGGCTTTTCTTAAAAAGTCAAGTGGTCCTGCAAATTTTCTCACTGACTGCCTCAGAGTCTCTGAGCTGATAACTGTCTCAGGGGAAAATTGTCCTGGCAAATCTCACTTATTGGACAGAACCGGTTCCTCCAAAGATGGAGCACAGGACAGCCCCAGGACAGCAGTGGCCCAGCCAGCATGCCCAAGGACGCTGGAGTCGTGGCGAGTTGCTTGAGATATAGATATATATATGTATATATACATATACACACACATATATATATATATATATATATATTGTGGCCACAATATCTTTATTCTACACGTATGTGGGGCCGAGGATCGAACCCCATGCCTCGTGCTTGCTGGGCGAGCCTCTGCCACTGAGCACAACCCCAGCCCGTGATCTGTGTCTTCAGAGACAGATGTTTGGGTCCTAACCCAGGAGCCGAGTGTGGCTTTGCAGACGCCCTGGACCTGCGATGGCTTCACCCGTGATCTTTCCCATTTTCCCCGGGGGTGGTCGGGGCACAGGGAGCCTCTGGGGCTACGGTGGCCACAGCTTCAGTGGGCGGGCTTAGGGCCGGCTCGCTGGACCCCATCACAACCTGAGAAACATCTGCATTTGGAAATAGGGTCTTTGCAGAGGTGACCTTGGTAAAATGAGGTCGTGGGGGTGCCCTGGTCCCATATCACCAGGGACCTTGTGAAAAGGGGAACTCTGGATCCAGAGACAGACAGGGACAGAGGGAGGACAGCCACCTGCAGGTACAGGCTCAGCCAAGGCTACCGGAGCTGGGAGCGGAGACCTTCCTGGAGGCTGCAGAGAGGGCCGGCCCAGCAGGCCCTGGGCGGCAGAGCGGGGGACAGACTTCGGGGGTCAGAGCCGCCCAGTCTGTGGCTCTTGGTTCTGGCAGCCCCAGGATGGTGCCCAGCTGACCCCGTGCCGTCGCTGAGGCACAAGCTGTGTCTTCCCCGTGTGTGTCTGCTTTGTGGCTGGGCTGCATCAGGCAGGTCACTGGCTAATGGCCGGGCATGGAGCTTTCTAGAAGGTACCGGTAGGGCAGGCACGCACTGGCAGTGATGCTGTGGATGGAGATGTTGAGTTTGGAGATGGAAGTGGACAGAACCTGGGATCCCTTGTGCACCTGGACAGTTTTGAAGAGCTGACCTAGGAGGGGACAGGGGAGAGTCATGAGGACCCGTGAGCATCCCCAGTGCTGAGACCAGGGCCACCCCTGCCACCACCCTCCTGCCCTCCAGTGGTGACCTTGCTCTTTTTCTGTTTTACTCCTCTGAAGTTCCAGGGATCGAGCCCACTGGTGCTCTAGGCCCCCACCCTTCATATTTTGAGGCAGGGCCTTGCTAAATTACAGAGGCTGGCCTTGAACCTTGATCCTTCTGCCTCAGCCTCCTGAGATGTTGGAATGACAGGTGTGGCCTCTGCACTCAGCTTAGGCCTTTTAATAGAGACAGTGTCAATAAGGGACGAAACAGAGCTTTTCAGCTGGGTGTGTGTCCACCATGCCAGAGGCCCAGGTTCCCCCCCAGCACCAACAAAACCTCAAAGCAGTGCCTTCTTCCTGTGGTGGGCTTCCAAAATGGGTGGCCAGCCTGAGCCCTTTTCTTCCACTGGCAGGGTGGGGGCCACACCCACGTCCCCAGCTGCTCTGTGCCTTAGGATGTGGCTGTGTGCCCCCAGCCCAAGTGATCCAGAGGCCCTCCCCTCGGATCCCTGGCGGTGGAGGGCTGAGCCACAACCACGGCGCTGCAGGTGCTGGCCAACCCCCACTGTCCCTCTGCTGGGGAGGTCCCTCGTCCATCCTGGATGCTATAACATGGGCGACAGCCCCGCCGACCTCGTGGAATCACTGACTGACTGTGGCCCCAAGACAAGATCTGAGGTTTCCTGGTCAAAGTTTGGACCCTGTGCCTGCAGAGTCTAGGGCTTTCAGAACCTGCCCACCTGCCCTCCAGAGCCGGCCAGGGAACTGGGGAGGACGGGTGGGTTTCAGTGGAGCGAGAACCTGCCGCGTCCACCTGGGTCTGCCGAGGGGCCCTGGCTCTGCTCCCTGTCCGGGCCCCGCATCCTGTAGGCCGAGAGCGCAGCCCGCTCACCTGAGTTGGGGGAAACCAAGAGGGTCTTCTCAGACCAGAGGATCAGAAAGCCTCTCAGGCCGGGGCAGAGGAAGACGTCCAGGGTCTTGTCGTAGTTGAAAGCCAGCCCCAGGTTCCGGTCGAGAGGCTGCTCCGAGTACACGAACACTCCCTAGAGAGTCCCGTCACAGGGACAGAGGCCACGTGTGGGCAAGCCGCGGGTCGCACACGCAGTGCCCAGCAGCACGCAGGAGGCCCTGACCTCCGACCACACGCACACACCACCTGTGGTCAGTGGAACTTGTCCCTCCAACCTCGGCCTCCTCGTGAAGGCCAGCAGGTCTCGGCCCGGGATCTCCACCGGGGAAGACTCTTCCTCCCAGGCAACACTGGGCCACGTCTGGGGGTCTGTGGGGACTGGGGGGCTCCTGTGTGCGGTGCAACACCCGGGCACCCAGGACGCCCACCCAGAGACGGGCCTGGCCCATGCCCACCACACCAGGGCCGGAACCTCCCCCTGCCTGCTGGGCGGGCCCTGTGGTCCCTGCTGTGCTGGGCTTGCGCTCTGCCCTCGGGAGGCTGCAGCCTTTGAGGCAGAGACGGGGGAGATGGGGAGGTAACCAGGCCACCTGGGAAGGGACGAATGCCTACATCGAGGCCTCGAGGACTGGACTGGTCACTGTGAGGTGGGATGTTACAGGGCGAGGCTGTCCCAGTGTTCGGCCTGCTCACAGGCTCTGCCGTGGCAGGGCAGCCCGAGAAGCTGCACGTTTGGGCCACATGGACTGGCATCCAGACGGTTTCCCTAGCTGGTCCCTCTCTCCTCCAAATCGCTGGCACATGCAATTTAGCTTCTATTCCTAAAATCCCTGTGAGGGGCTGGCTCTTCCACTGTGCGGTTTCCAAAGTCGCTTCCTATCTGCCCATCATAGAGTTCCCAGGACAGAGTCAGAGTCCCTATTGCACAATGTCAGCCTGACCATGCCTGTCATCCCAGTGACTCTGGAGGCTGAGACAGGAGGACTGCAAGCTTGAGGCCAGTCTCAGCAACTCAGGAAGGCCCTGAGTGGTTTAGCAAGACCCTGTCTCGAATTAAAAAATGAAAAGGCCTGGGGATGGGGCTCCCCAACAGAGAAAGCATGGAAATGGAAAGGGCAGGGGAGTGGTCCAGGTGCAGCGCCCACACAGCATGAGGCCAGGGCACATCCCCAGCACTGCCACCACCCATCACCCCAACAAGCAAACACACAGCATCCTGCCATGTGGCCCCACCGACACATACGCCGTCCCCCAGGAGACGCACAGTGCAGAGATCCCAGGGGACTGCCGACCCTGCTCTGGGTCTGCCCACCCCGGCCTGCCACCCCCACCCAGCCGCTGGAGGACACAGACCAGCCCTGGGCAGGAGAAGAGCTGCGTTCCAGGGCCTGCAGGGTGCTTGAGAGACAGAGTGGGTCTGCAGGCCTCACTCACCCCCACGGTGCCGCGAGGGACTGTGGCTGGCACTGCCAGACGGTGGTCAGAGGAGCCAGGGAAGCACCAAGCACCAAGCCAAAAGGCGAGACTCAGCCTGCGTTTGCTGGGCCCTCCCACACGGGAACGCATGACCCATGGCACTTTCCCCACAGGGGCGCACGGGCGGGAGCCAAGAGGACTGGCCCAGTGGCCCCCGGTCATGTCCCTGTAGGGAGCACTGCAAAGAAGGGCGCTGTGGCCTTCTGGACCCAGAGGCCAAGGGCAGGGTAGAGGGCTGGGAATGGAAAGCCCTGGGTCAGCCAGGTTCTGCCTCCTGCCCCACTGGGGACCTGGCACAGGCACGCGAAAGAGTCTTCAGACAAAGGAACCGAGTCCCATGAGAGCGCGGGCAGCCAGGAGGCCGAGGCCTCGACTCAGCGCCTCCCAGCGGCTCTGAGGCTCCACTCCCCCAGGGGGTCTGGCCTGGAAAAGCCCTGGACACCTGCGGCCTGGCTTGAAGGCACCACAGTTCTTTGGTTTTCAGAACTGGGGGCTGGACCTGGGGACTCTCCACCCCAGAGCCACACCCCAGCCCTTTGCAGTCTTCATTTTGAGTCAGGGTCTCGCGAAGTTGCTAAGGCTGGCCTTGAACTTGCAATCCTCCTGCCTGAGCCTCCCAGGTCCCTGGGATGGCAGGAGTGTGCCATCGGGTCGGGCACCTTCTTTCCTGCTCTTTTCTGTTTGTTTCTTTTTCAGTACTGGGGACTGAACCCAGGGCACCTCACCACTGAGCCACAGCACCGTCTCCTGACCTCTCCACTGATCCCGATCACAGGAGTCTGAGCCCGCAGACCAGGAGCAAGGAAGAGAGGCAGACCAGGAGCAGCGTGATGGCGCCAAAGGAGACAGAGCACAGGGCGGGGTGCTGGGGGCTGGTCCCTTACACCGGGGCTGTTCCAAGCTTCCTGGTCGACTCCTCTCTGGGATGGGCCACCTTGAGACCTCTGCTCAAGCCTGGAGACCTTTCAGAGGATGCCCCTCCCCTCGCCACCTGCTCCCTGTGGGAAGCCTCCCGATGGGGACAAGGGCTGTTTATTCCTTCATCTCCCTACCAGCAGCTCCTGGGGACTGGCTCTCCCTGAACTCCAGGGCTGCGCACCCCCTTCACGGCCTGGCAAAACCTGGGGTTAACCCACTAAATCTGAGTCTGAGCTTCATTTTGCACAGGCGGAATCATCGTCCCAACTCAGTCTCACCCTGGATGGCGCCTGTGAATCCACCACAGGTTTCATGCACCGACTTTCTGAATCCACGTTAAGAGTTTCCAGCGCCACAGGCGCCACATTCGTCCTTCACCCCTGGTGCTCGGCAGGCACCAGGCCCAGCACCGGGAGCCAGGGAGCACTGCTGGGTGCAGGGGAGAGAGCGGGAAGGAGGGCCAAGTCGCCTACCTTCCCACTGTTCACCAGCAGCAGCCCGATCTGTGACAAGGAATGGAAGTAGAAGACTCCCCCTAGAGACCCGGCCAGTCCCGCCTGTGAAGCACAAGACAGTCCCCGTGAGCGCACACACCCATTGCTGTGACGATGCGTGCTTCGTTCTCATTTTAAGTGCACATTATCTTAGAAGCTATAATGAAAGCCTCTCTTTCTAGACCCACTTCCTGTCTGTGACAGAGGAGCAGGTCCTGGAGGAAGGCGGCTCTGGTGTGGGTGTTTGGAGGACCCCATGCGGCCCCGGCCCCAGGAGCTGCCTGGGCTTCCACGCCAGGTGGATCCTCCTTCCCAGCTTCTGGCTGTCCAGAGAAGCGTCCAGCAGCCACCGGAGCAGGAGACCAAGGTCCGGGCCGTCCTGTGTGGGAGCGAGGCCTCTGGGACCCTGGAGCTCCTGGGCCGACCTCTTCGGAGCAGCGCCTCCCACCAGCTGCACCGCCCCCTCTTCTCTGGCAGCGGAACCTCCAGGAACCTCATCTCGGGGAGCAGATCAGCCTGAGAGCTCAGCTCCAGGGGCACTGCCCGGGCTGGGGGGCATGTGACCGCCCTGGCTAACGGGTGGGTGGGCCCGTCTCCAGAAGTGAGTCCACGGAGCACGTCTGCCACCTTCCTCCCGCAGGGCAAGGACGGCTCACCTTGCCATGTGTGCTAATGTCATCAGGGCCACAGTCTGGGACGAGAGAGGGAGGATCAGAACCCAGACGTCACCCTCAGTGACCCACAGGCCACCATGCCAGCGTGGATGCAGGAGAGGCCCGTTGTTGGCTTCGGGGGAAGGGGACGAGGGGCAGTCAGACCGCGAAGGAGAGTCAGGAGACCCACGCGTACACTTGTCAACAGAAACAGAGGTCGGCTCTTGTCCTGGCTTCAGTGGCCCTGAGCCCAGATAGTCCCTGAGCGGAGGTACCTTCCTGTCGAGAAGTCCATGGAAAAACAATACCGAGGCGTGGGGAGGGAAGAGGGAAACCGTTTGGTTAATAATCGGGGACCTCAGTGATGCGCGTTTGCAACCAAACCCAAGGTTCATTCTTATCTTGTGACCAGGTCCTTCCAGGACTCATTTTGAATGAAAATGTGTGGCCAGCTCAGTTCTGGGTTTTGCGGGGCTTCTTGGTAGGGCAGAGAAAACAGATTTGGGATGTTGGGGAGCGCGGCAGCGGGCCAGACTCCTCTGGACGCACCCCCAAGTGTGCCTTCTGAGTCACACCAGAACTTCCCACGCCCTTGGTGGCCTGAGGGGCTCTTGTCCTCTGAACTGCTCTGCCATGCTGTGTGACCTTAGGAAGGGCACTGCCCTTCTCTGAGCCTTAGCCCCTGGGTTCATTTCCAATGGCTGCCACGGCAGAAGATCGCATTCAGAACAGCAGACATGAAGACAACAGAAATCTGTTGGCACAGTTCCGGATGCTCAGAGTCTGAAATCAAGGTGCCAGCTAATCAGGAGCCCCCAGAGCCTCCGAGGAAGAAGCTGCGTCCTGTGTCCCCAGGCTTCTGACACCAGAAACCGGCCCCTTGTCCCAGGGCCTTCTGTGGATCCTCCCAGGTCCTCTCCTCTACCAGGACACCAGCCTGGACTTGGGGCGTGACCTACTCCATCCGGCTGCGCACACCACCTGGACTCGTCTCAGGGCCAACACCCCATTTCCCAGTCGGATGACCACTGGGCACGAACGCCCGCCAGTGTCCTCTGAGATTCAAGTTGAATCTTCCTCCTCGGCAAGGACCGTGAGGAGCGGGCTCTGTGAGGTGGCGGCAGGGGCTCCATCCTCCTGCCAGGGCTCAGGTTGAAGAAGTCGCCCTCCCCTCTCCTGCTCGCCTGCCGCAGGGGCGACAGGTCTGCCTCCCTGCCCTCCCTGCCTGCCCTCCCTGCCTGCCCTCCCTCCCTGCCCTCCCTGCCTGCCCTCCCTCCCTGCCCTCCCTGCCTGCCCTCCCTGCCTGCCCTCCCTCCCTGCCCTCCCTGCCTG